TTATAAATGTTGCATCTCTGATACCGTTTTATTATTCAGAAATGTATGATCTCCGCAGTATTTTCCTTCTGTTAGTTGCATAATATATACGTCGGTAACTCTAGCAACACCATAAATATGCGATGTCATTTACCTGCCGAGGGTGCAATCGGAATTCAGCAACGCCGAAGGTGCCTCAGTGCAGCATCATAGATATCATTACACAGCCGATTATTATATCATTTTAAATCAAATAAGATAAGTTAAAAGTATTACTACCAGAGCTGGAGCTCGAGAGAGTGGCAAGGTGGTATGTTGGAAAGAACCAGCATCAAATAAATCACAAAGTGCATTTGACCTTAATGCTACGTTAAAAAATTTCACTTTGATTTGCATTGTACATGTATCGTTGATTTCGTTTTAAATTAACGACTACTCTAACCTTTCCACTAAAATATCAAGGATAGCTCTAGCGGAATATGGTCTATCAAACAAAAATGTTTCAGGAACGCATCTGCTGCAATCGTATACAGGGTTCTCGAAAGGAACGAACCAAAACCTAGCGTTTTCATGCTGCACAACTACTTTTAGGAGTGAAATACAAATTAGGATTTTTAGAAATAAAAATAAACCGGGCACAAAAATGGTGTCAGGTAGAATGTTTGATCTAAATCCTGGCTGCTTGGCCGCTATGTGAAAAAATGACAAAACGATATAAAGCTTATTTTCAGTAACTACTGACGGATTTTAATTTGTTGAGGCTCCTTCTACTCCTTTTTTTATGGCGAACATATTTTGTAAAAAGCGCCATCTATCACACCAGCGTCGTCCACCGCGGAAAGCGCATAGCTGTATTTAGTTGGAACTGTTAGGGGTCTCAGTTTACGTTTAATAGCCCAGCCAGCAGGTGACCGCTAGATGGCTGATGATTCTGGCTGTAAAGTAGATGTGCTCTACTTGCCATTGAATAAACTAAATATGATTCTTTTGTCCGTCTGACCAAAAAGCCAGCCAACCATGGAGAGGTGTTTCGTGCTTGTTGGCTACAACAATCAACCTAGCTCATGCTGGTGGGTAGCCAAGACGCAGGTAACAGCTGTCCATGGTTGCCTGTCTTTTATATAAATAATATAGTTAATAAACAGTTTAACTGTTTTTATTAAAATGTTTACTTGTTTTAAATGCACATTTTCTACATGAACTAAATTAACTTTAATGGTTTAATAACACACAGCTTTAATTGACCATGTTTTCTCAGTGTATATAATCTGTCTCGCCCAACATTCAGGGAGAGCTAACACACCTATTTTGTTGTGTCTTTCCGAGGGCCAAAATAAATCGAGTAAATCTCGTTTTCATTTGGATTGTCTCCGGCAGCCAGTAGGGGACATAAAGGGCGACGTAGAGGACCTTTCTTCTATTTATCTTTGATTAAGAATCGTTTGCGTAATTAATGGTTGATTAAATCTGTATAGGGTCCTTTCCTCCTCAACGATTTGCCGATGAGGCAATGCGGACTCGGATACCTGAACGGCGTTAGGAGTTTTTTCACGATTTGTTGTAACAGGGCATTGCAAACATACGTTATGGCTCAGATTCTTTATAACCTATTTTAAGCGACAGGGTTTATTTTACAAATGTTTCTCGTAGTCGTGTCTTCCAACGCATTTTCCGTTGACTGTCCACCAGATTTCGGGTGTTACGACCACAATTTCATTGTCTTTCGCATAGGCTTGCTGACACATGCCGTCAAATATCCCCAAAGGAAGATCCCGGGAACAGTTAAACCCGATGAACGCGGAGGCTAAGTTCAATTGGTTTTTCGCGAAATAATGTGGTCCACAAATACCTCTCTAACAAAGCCAATGACCACTTCCTTGAAGATTCTGCTGTATTAAAAAAATGGCGTTTCCACGCAACGCCTTAATCAGTTCAAAAAGGATTACGCTACACTGAGTGACAAACACCTACGTATGTTTATCCGATTTTAATAATTTTTGGCATATATGTTCAGTGTCCCTTACTAGTAAAACGATTGAATTTTCAGCTTGATGTGTTGAGGATCCACGATTTCTTATACACTCATTGACACGCCTGGGCATCGTGCTGATAAGTTGCTCGATATCCTGTTAGGCTATCTTATTCCCGGCTACTGAAACTTTGCGAGTAAGAGCTGCTAAAGTCTGTGGAGGGTGCTGCAAATTCAAAAGGCTGCGACCTATCATGTCCCAGACATGTTCAATTGGAGATAGGTCAGGCGATCGTGGTGGCCAGAAGTCCTAACCGGCCGTCTGGGACGTCCAGAACCCCTCGCTTGCTGTCCTCGGCCTTCCTGAGTTCACGCTCGTTCACACTGCAGTATAATATTGCGTAAGGATCTGTTGGTTCTCCTAGAAACTTCTCTTATTGATAAACTGGCTTCACGCAGCCCGACAATTCTACGCACTCTAGGCTTTTTGAGCAATCAGAAAAAGGCTTCTCAATAAGCTACACGAAATTTAACATTTAACTGACACCGTAAATGTGCGAAAACTGAAAGCTTCTTTATCACCAAACAATACACGCAGCCACCACAAAAACTTAACAGAAAAACCTGACCATTTTATCACTTGTTCATGGCAAGATAAATCGATATGTAAATAATTCTTGAATTCTAATAAACATACGTATGTAGGTGTTACCTTGTTTTGTCACTCAGTATACATAATATATTGCAGCCCCTATACAACATATTTATTGAGTGTGTCCATACTGCTTGTATAGCTGTACTAAGAACGTTTTACCAAAATGAGATGCTGTGTAAGGAATACTGTAAAAACGTTCTGGCAACCCTAATAGTAGTGATAATTGTAACTTGGGTTCTTCACTGTATCATAAAATAATTAAAAGTAAATTTTACATTATACATTATAACGTTACATACCATCATCGGTCGCAATCAGAAAAAAATGAGAGAATCCCTTGGACAAATTGCCCTTTTCAGAGTATTCTAAGAAAGGTATTCGTTTTCCAAATTAAAAATATTTCTTGTTTAACAAATTCAATGACTTCAAAAAGTTACCGTGTAAAGAATATAGGAATTGTAACAAGGGCGCACGCCCTAGCTGACGTATTGTCCTTTCCCCTTCATCTTTGATGTGGCATTACGCATCAACCCATCCACATGCTCACAAAAGGGCCCTGCCTGGCAATACCATACCTTACATTGATGGTCTATTCTATGGCTTATGTTAGTCAGGGTGCTAGTGCTTGGACACGGTGCTAATGCCAACTTTTTCAACGGCCGATTTAATTATAAGATTTTAAATGTAAAATTATGCCATTCTGCCTCCCAATGTTGCCCTTCTCTGCTTCACTTCAAACAGTGATGTTAATGGCTCTCAGTCAGAGGAAACACTAATCGTGGACTCAAAGGCTCGAATGCGGCGATAGAGTGTACATATAGTAACACCAAACCATTGGTCAGCGATGTGACGCTTAGTAGCAAAACCACCACGCATCCTGTCCCTTACAGCACTGCTGTCCCGTCGCCCCTGGGTAACTCAGACCACGGTGTTGTGGAGGTTAGGTTTCGGTCAGAACCCGCGGTGGCAGCAGAAACTCGTACAGTCCGCAAAACTTGGCATTACGGACATGCCGACTGGGAGGGGCTCAGACTTCTTTTCTAGCTGGTGTTCTTCGATAAACGAAATTATCCACGTCGGAATGGAGGAATACATCCCTCGCACAGTGAAAGTGTCTAAACCAGGGTCCAACGGCTGGTTTAACAAATCGTGTGACACTGCTCGCCAGCAGAAGATCTAGGCATACACAACCTTCTTACAAAATCCACTGTAGAGAACAAATAAGCCGACGTTGGGTCCAGAAACAAATATAACGAAGCGGTTCGAAATGCCAAAAACAAGCACGATATAAAAGTTAGGCACAGGGTATTGTCGCAGCGCAATGGCAGTCGGCCTTTCTGGACGCTGGCCAAGCAGATTGAAAAGAACTTCTCACACAGTAGCCTTCCACCACTTACGTGTCAGGATGGAACTATTGTATTCGACTCAAAGACCAAGGCGGAAGTGCTAGCCAAGATCTTTGCAGCCAACTCCACCATGGACGTCCCCCCCAACGCCCAAGCGCCGTCAATTCAAAAGGTTCCCTACACTATGCGGGAGGTAACATTCAGGCATAAGAGCGTAAGACGAGTACTCTTGTCGCACGACATCTACAAAGCTTCTGGTCCGGACTTTATTCCTGCCATTATACTGAAGGGGTGTGCAGCGAAGCTTGCTCCAGTTCTTTCGCGTCTCTTCCAGATATCTTATGAATCCGGCACCTTCCCAGAAAACTGGAATTTTGCTCATGTCCAACCCATCCCGAAAAAAGGATCTAAGACCGATCCTTTCAACTACAGGCCTATAGCTCTGCTTTCTGTTATAAGTAATATGATGGAGAGGTACATAAATCGCGAGCTTCTGGACTACCTCGAACGTCACAGCTTGATTAGCGACAAGCAGTATGGTTTCCAGCACCAACGATCCACAGGGGACCTCCTAGCTTACGTCACGCAACTGTGGAGTACACTCATCCAGTCTCATGGTGAGGCTCATGTCGTTGCTCCTGACATCACGAAAGCGTTCGATCAGCTGTGGCACGCTGCCCTCTTAAGCAAACTTCCAGCCTATGACTTTATCTCTGGCCGCAAGATACCCGTCGTAATTGACGGGTTCTCATCTTCATCCCACAACGTCAACCCGGATGTTCCCCAGGGATCGGTCTTGGCTCCAACACTGTTTCTCTTACATATCAACCACGGTGAACCACTTGACCTTCTTTGTGTTCCTCTACCTTTTTCTATCCACAGACGACACCTCGTATCTTTCTGTTGTAATTGCAACACTCTGTCAATACACCTTGACCATACAGGCATTGGGGATTATCGACATGTAAACCACAGGTTTAGTTTCTTAACTTACATTAACCAAGGACTTGAGTTTTTTGCCGTCAAATTTTTTATATCACTAAATTAGGCACTTTTACAAAAGTATTAACTGTTTTTGTTTGTTGCAGGTTCCGATGACGTGAGCGGCGAGCAAGAGGGGTGCTAGGGTACCATCTAGACGGTACCGGAAGCGCCAAGCCCAGACACGTCGCAATGAAGTGCATCCTTCAAATCGCACTACTTATGGCCATAGCCGCCATTACTGGATCTGCTGCCTCAGTCACATCCAAAGACATCGTCAAGAGCTTTACGGACAAACATGTCCAAGCATTCAATCACCTGGTGGTCGACAAGAATACTGGCAGGGTTTACATCGGGGCGGTGAACAGGCTATACCAACTCTCACCAGACTTGGACCTGGTAGTAGAGGCCGTTACTGGACCTAAGATGGACTCCGAGGATTGCTCTGTCGTAGAATGTACAACTTCTACCAATACGAAGCTGACAGATAACGTCAACAAAGCTTTGGTGATCGATTATACTACCACCAGGCTGATAGCTTGTGGTACGTTATCGCAGGGAATATGCACCGTCAGGCCTCTGCACAACATATCTGAATGGGTGCATGAAATTCGGGAAGCTGTGGTAGCCAATAACGCGTCAGCTTCAACAGTAGCCTTCATAGCACCAGGACCACCAAATCCGCCAGTGTCTCAAGTGATGTACGTCGGAGTTACCTTCACTCTTGGATCACCATACAGATCAGAAGTACCTGCAGTAAGCAGTAGATCTTTGGAGAAGGAGAAAATGTTCTCGATTGCTCAGACCGCTGTCACCACAGGTACCAGAATGTTCGTCAACTCACTAGCTAGAGAGAGATATCCTATAACCTACGTCTACGGCTTCGCTTCTGAAGGCTTCAGTTATTTCTTGACCACCCAAATGAAGAGTACTACCTCCAATCAATATATCAGTAAGCTTGTCAGGGTTTGTCATGACGACGAAAATTACTATTCCTACACGGAGATACCCATAGACTGTATCAGTGAAGCTCAAGGTGGAAGGAAATACAATCTGGTCCAGGCAGGTTACGTGGGCAAGGCAGGATCGGACTTGGCTTCGGATTTGGGCATTACGGCCCAAGATGATGTACTTTTCGCGGTGTTCAGTGAAAGTGATCCCGATATCGCGAGCAAACCTTCGAACTTGTCAGCACTGTGCGTGTATTCCCTGAAAGCCATCAGAAGGAAGTTCATGCAGAATATCAAGCATTGTTTCAGCGGTAAAGGGCAACGAGGACTCGACTTCATATCGCCTAGTCATCAATGTGTTCCAACGGTAAGTTTATGCAGCTTGAAGCAAAAATATGTTTTTGATTTCAATTTTTGAATGTTTAAGAACAATCTGCTTCAAGAGTAAAATTGAGTCTTGATCATTTACCTATAGCTCTGCTTTCTGTTATAAATCGCGAACTTCTGGACTACCTCGAACGTGACAGCTTGATTAGCGACAAGCAGTATGGTTTCCGGCACCAACGATCCACAGGGGACCTCCTTGCTTACGTCACGCAATTGTGGAGTAAACTTATCCAGTCTTATCTCTGGCCGCAAGATATCCGTCGTAATTGACGGGTTCTCCTCTTCATCCCACAACGTCAACGCGGGTGCTCCCCAGGGATCGGTCTTGGCTCCGACACTGTTTTTCTTACATATCAACGACCTCCTTTCCTGCACGATCAACCCAATCCACAGCTTCGCTGATGACAGCACTCTACATGCAGGAATTCAGAATGACAAGCCGATCTCTGTCGCTGAGCTGGAAAAAAGAAGACTAGCGACGACTTCCTCTCTGACAAGAGACCTGGAGGCTATCACTGCTTGGGGATCTTGTACAGTTCAATGCTTCCAAAACACAGTACTGTATTTTGACGAACAAAAAGCGTCCTAGCGCTCACCCGGCTTCGATGGATGGCCGAGTTCTGCCAAAGGGCCATTCATTTCGGCTGGTCGGAGGACCTGGTCTGGCACGAACACATCTCGTCAAAGGTAGGCTATTTGTTTAGGGCTGAGAAGTACTTTTCTCCGCATGACCTTCTCACTCTATACAAGACCCAGATAAGGCCTAGCCTCGAGTATTGCTCACACGTTTGGGGTGCTGCGGTCCCGACTACATTATCCATGCTCGATGCTGTCCAGAGGAGGGCGGTCCGACTGATCGATGACTCTTCTCTAACAGACAGTATCGGGACTCTTTCGCACCGATCTAGCTCTTTTCTACAGCTACACCAACGGGCTTTGCTCATCCGAGCTTTCTTCCATGATGCCGCCGCGTGATGTGCCTGCCAGACAGACCCGCCTGACTTTGGCGTTCCATCCTAACCGTGTCGAACTTCGTACGGTGTACCGGCATTTAGTCTTCAGCCTGCGCGCTGCTTCGATATATAAAAAAATTTTTTTTGGTGGCAACATGGCCATGACGAGGTAAATTTTACAGATTGCAAAAAAATGATGACTGCTAAACTCAAGATACGATTCTAATACGATACTGCATAGTGAGCAGCGACCTTCATAACCTTGCATTTCAATTCAATATTCGGTATTCAGAAACAGATATGCGTTGCATCTCTCTTCATTATCATTAAACTGGAGAGTCGGGCAGTCAACAACGGCTCAATACGATTAGAAGCTGAGTTCGTCACTCCGACATTACTTTTGTTTGTCTTCAGGTCGAAAACGTAAGCCGTCGTATGTGGATTAATGAAAGCTGTGTTTGCGCCTGTCTCTAATCTAGCTTAATTGTTATTCTGCCAATCTAAATAGATCGGATAGGAACATGGACGTACATAGCAGTCATTGTGTTGTCACTAACTTTCAGACATTTTCATGGAAATTTAATTGATACTTCAACTTGGTGTATCGTAATCGCAAAACATTTCGGGGCTGCCCTACGAAAATGCGAGCCCCTAAAGGACGCTAATGGAAATAGGTTTTTCTTAAATAGCTCTTGAACACACTGTGTAAGTCCACAGAACTCTGTCAGTACAAGAAGTCGATCTTACAGCTAGACATTCAAGTAGGTCATCCCAGTTATGGTCCGAGGTAGCAAATAAATTTATGGAACGTTTTGCAAAGCCACAGAATGTCCTTCCGGTCTGTTTCCAACGAAACATCTCCGAAGCAGGAAAGGCTGCTGCGGACAAACTCCTCAGACTGAAGAGCACCTCGTAATTTGGCTGCAGATGTTCCTGAAACAGATTTTATCATCGATATTGTTTCCTCAAGTCCATCTTCCACCTGGACATACCGAAAATGGAGTGCGTTTTTATCCGGAATCCTTAGTACTCTAGGGATCCATCATCATCAATTTGTTGTGAAGGGGCAGGGGATTGCGTAGCTCAGGTGTGGAAACATGCGGACATTCCTAAGACACCCTGGAGAAACTAGCAAGTGGTACCGCCTTGGTTGACTGATCCTTATCTGTCACCTTCTTTTTGCTTGTTAATGATAGATAGACCTGAAGTGGTCCGTTGGCGGACTTGTATCGCCACCCGGCAATCGATTCCTTAACGTGTATACAATCACTTGAGCGGGAAGAAGTACAACTCTCAGGACAAGCATTTTATTCGGCGCCGCTCAGTAGGGGGTTGTTTTCTTGCTTAACTCCGAAGGTCCTATTTGGTAAATGATACCATATTCCTGAAATGGTTGGCATCGTCTTTGAATCCAAAACATTTTGAGAATGGCTACTGGCGTTTGAAGTAACAAATACCGAAACATACATAACCTGCACTAATTTCTATCCGGATACGTGAAGTTGAATCTCCTTGGTTGGAAGTGCATAAGTGCCACTTAGGGCATGCAGTGTCATAACTTCTTGCAAAAATGCAAACTTTCCTAATGAGGAGTATTAATTTTAGATAATAACGGTCTACAAAGCATGTTTAAGCAGCCATAAAAATAACTGACGGTGAAATACCACTACATAAACAAGTTGTTGCAATTAGAACTTAAATTATTGCATGAATAATAGACATAAGCTCGTTACTTCTCGGATGAAAATCGTGGTGTAATTTGACTGCAGGCTTCGTATGGTCCTTTTTGCCACTTATCTCAGGACCCGACTAAAAGGTCTCGAATACCTCGAGCTCAATCATAGGCCAGTCAATAAAAACACTGAATTACGCTGCAGTAATACGAGGGATGTCTATTAAGTTTTGCATATAGAAACATAATAGGCCGCGCGGATAGAACGTCAGTACTGAATCTTAACCTCACTGTTTAGTAAACTTAAATTCAAAGTTTCACAGCAATACGTGCAGTGTTCTCACTACAGTGAATTTTTAAGTTTCACGAAGTCAGTAGAAAAATGAAACTCAACCGAGAATATTTTCGCGACATAATTTATTACAACTTTCAGAGACAATTATCGCAACAAGAATGCCTTGCTGAGTTACTGTCTGTTTTTGGCAACGAAGCGCCACATCAGTCGACAATTTCCCAATGGTATGGATAATTCAAACGTGGACGGGTGAGTCTTAGCGACGATCCCAGGGTGGGTGCACCAAAAACGGCAGTCACCCAGGAAAACGTCGATGCTGTGCGCAAACTCATTATTGAAGATAGACATGTGACATATCGCGAGATTGAGACGTCCTTGAAGATCTCAAAGACCTCAATTCAAAAATTTTACATGAAGAATTGGGAGTAAGAAAATTAGTTTCTCGTTGGATACCCCACCTGTTGACTGAAGAGCAGAACCCAGCCAGAGTTAATTGGTGTCGAAAGACGCTTGACCGTTTCAATTCCGAAAACTCAAAAAATGTGTACAGCATTGTTAGTGCTGATGAGTCGTGGATTTTACTGTTATGAACCAGAAAATAAACGACAGTTGGCTGTTTGGGTGTTCCAAGGTGAAGAAAAGCCAACAAAAGTCATCCGTTCTCGAAGTGTTTCGAAAAAGATGGTCGCGACATTTGTGTCAAAAGCGGGTCATATTGCAACAATTCCTCTTAATGAGCAAAGAACTGTTACTGCAGGTTGGTATACTACCATTTGTTTGCCGAAAGTCATCACCAAGCTTCGAAAAATCAACCCTGAAAGACGAATCATCCTCCACCAAGACAATGCAAGCTCGCACACAGACAAAATACAAGACAGTATTTAACGGAAGGAAACGTGGAATTATTGGACCATCCTCCATATAGTCCCGATCGATTTCTTTACTTTCCCGAAAATTAAAAACAGACTGCGTGGTCAAAGGTTCCAGTCAACAGAAGAAGCAGTTGACGCATTCAAAAATGCCGTTTTGGATCTGCCAGCAAACGAGTGGAATAAGTGCTTCGAAAATTGGTTCGAGCGCATGGAGATGTGGAGAATACTTGGAAAAACAATAAAGTCATTTGAAACTACCTACCTTGTTGTTTTATTTCCATATGCAAAACTTAAAAGACATCCCTCGTAGTGTATGGTGCCCAGAGGAGATTTAGAATTTCCAAACATTGAACATCACACATTTTAGGGCAACTCTTTTTAGAATTGCGGAATCCATCTTTCTCAATTTTGCTCAAAACGTTGCCGCACATTTTGCATTATTTGAGGAGTAATTTGAAGGCACTCATTCACAATTCTTTGTCGCAGGTCTTCTAATGATGTTGGCTGAGTAGCATAGATTTTGCTTTTTAAATATCCAAAATCCAAAGGTGATCTGGCGATCTTGGGGGCCATTCAATGGCACCTCTTCTACCAATCCATCGATCTGGAAACGTCTGATCTAAATATTGTCGAACACGTAATGCGTAAAGTGGTGGGGCACCATCCTGTTGGAACATCAACCTATTCGCAATGTACCGCCGATCATTCTGATTTTCAATTATGGCTGTTAATGCAGGATCTATGGCGTCTTCCAGTAATTCCAAATACATTTCACCGGTCAAATTTCCAGGTAAGAAAAAAGGACCAACTAAATGATCGCCAAAAATACCAGCCCAAACATTTAATTTTTGTAGCTGCTGTGTATGAACCTCATGATAAATTCTGGGATTAGAATCGGACCAATATCGGCAGTTGATGACGATTTACTACGCCATTTAAGAAAAAGGATCATTCGTCGCAAAAGCAAGTGTTGAATAGAAAATGTTCATCGAATATACCATAGTTAATTTATATAATAAAGCGTTACAAGTTATTTTAGCAACAAAGTTTGGTCAAATCAATCGCAAACTATGTACTAAATTCCTATTTAAAATAAGTACGAGATATTTCCTTACCTTTCTTCAAGAAATAACTTTTTTGCCACAAAAAAACGTTCCATTAGCCATTTTCAACAACAAAATGATAAACAAACCATGGGCGTAGTGAAGAAAAGCATTTACTTATTAAGTAAATTCTTTTAGTCAAATTTCTTCTGAAATTAGTACAAACTGTTCTGATGTACCTATTAAAGTCTAGCTGAGCTTTAAATTAATAAATCTTCAAAACTACTGAGCTGAAGCTCATGTATTTTACATCAGTATAAAGGGAATTGAAAGACCTTTGAAATAAGGTGTCACTCGAACCCCCTTCCCATTTAAGATTTTAGGGTTGCTGTCACCCCCGCCCAGGGGGCTGCACGTGTTAACGTGATTTTTTGCTAAACTTGTGTCCCTCTCGAAAACAAAATCGACGGGTCTGAGCATTTTTCAAGAAAAAAACCGAGCTGCCAGTAAATACGTCTGTTTCGTTGTCGATGCGCCACCCTGTATATTCCCGTGTATTCAATATAGAAAAAAAATTTTTTTTACAAAACCAAAACTATCTGGACCATTTGTAGGATAACAGTATTTAACATCCGTTTTTCGCATTCATTTACTGGCCTATCGGAAATTCTAAATAACTACACCACAAACTTTCTCGGCAATTACTCCTATTATTCCCGAAAAACTTTGCTATAGAAATGTCCTGGCGAACATATTTTTACATAAAAATTTAGGCAGAATCTCGGGTGGAACTGCAACTGCAAGAGGTACTTGTGACTTTTTACGTTTATTCAGTTACCGTGGTAAAACCTCATCCCAGATTACCTTAATTGCTACCTGAGTATTGTACATAAAACCACTGATGGGAGGGATATTCACAATTGGCTTGCCTAGGTGTGCTGATGAGAGGTTATGGTCGAATCATGGTTGTCCACAACAAAGAACTTGCGTACAGGGTTTTAATTAAGTATGTACCATAAATTTCGCAGACGATTCTTTGTGGAATTTTAAGACAAGAAGTTCAAATTCTTCGTTACGTAATTTTGCTATAATTTGGCTGTGATATTTATAACATTAAGGAGCTGATGTAACCCTAACTAGATTAAATTTATTGAGACCAGTGGCGTTTCCAGCGTGATCTGAACGAATATTTGTGACAAAAAAATATATGCCACTGACGGTGCAATTTTTATTATATTTTTTGTATTGATCAAATAGAAATACAACTTTTTTGTCTCTTGAATTTTTTTCGCATCTTGCTTTGTTTTCGAGAAAAAAAAGTCCACGTAATTGCATGCATATCGGGAGGCCTGCAACAGTACGAACAGTTCAGATTGAAGAAGCTGTTTTATATGAAATTGAAGCAAAACGGCTGAAAAACTGAATATTACCCGTCAGAGTGTGGCAGAGTTTAAGAGACCAGCAGCTAGTTAGATCCATATCATATGCAACATGTGCAATCTCTATGGCTAAGAGATTTGCCTTCAAGACTAGCTTTTTCTGATTGGTTATGCAGTAAAATGATAAGGACTCCAGGTTTTCTAAGTCGAATATTGTTTACAGAAAGCTTGTTTTTCTCGCAATTCAATTATTAATCTCCACAACAGTCACATTTGGGCCGGAAATAATCCACACGCCTTAATAGAACATAATTTTCAAGAACAGTTTTGTTTCAATATTTGGATTGGAATTGTCGGTGACCTCATTTTCTTCCACCTAGACTTTGGAGAAGAATGTTTTTAGCATTTGTTTTAACTGGACTTTTAGAAGTTCCAACAATGGAAAGATTCCGTATGTGGTACAGGCACGACGGGGCTCCTCCTTTGGCCCCCTCGCTCGCCCGATATGAATCCCTTAGATTATTTTCTCTAGGGACACCTTAAACAGTTGGTATACAAAACTCCTACTGAAAGTGAACAGGATTTAAGGAATAGAATCATTAACTCATGTGACATGATAAAAAATACGCTAGGTATTTTCAGGAGAGTGCGTAACTCAGCGATTTCCAACTTGATTTAGTGAAATTTGTTAGTCTAGATGTTAATGTTATTTAGTTGTTACATAATTAATCTAGAGGCAAAGAAGTTGTATTTTTATTTGCTCTGTCCAAAGAATTACACAAACGTCAGCGACGTACATTTTTTTGTCACAAATATTCGTTCAGATCTCGCTCGAGATGTCACTGGAGTCGACAAATTTAAGCAAGTTAAAGCTAAATTAGCTCCTTAATGTTATAAATACCACCGCCAGTTTACAACAAAATTAGGAAAAGGATTTTTCAGATATTTACGAAAACGTTTTTTTTATTTCAACACTTTGAGAACGAAGAATTTGCGGAGCATATTTCTATTAACTTTTTGTCTTAAAATTACTTAAATGCATGATACATATTGAGTTATCACCCTGTATGCACATCATAGATTCTATTTATGCAGGTCTTGTCTTGTGTTAGACATATCAGTAACCTGAAGAATTGAAATCTTATTAAAAAGCAATTATCGCTAAGCACCAAAACCAGAACAATTAGGCCAATCTTCTGCGTAAGACGCGACTACAAATGTTAGATATTCAAAAAGTAAAACGGGATGCCATGATTCAGCATAAATAAAAAGCGGTTTATCCAGCTCAACAGCTGAAAAATAGTTGTATACAGGTAAAATGAAAGCAGTATTGTTTCTCCTTTGTTGTTTTCTCAGGAACAGCGATCAGATGGCATATCAAAGCGCAGGTGTTCTGTGATGAAAACTATTATAAATATGGGCGGTTTATTTATGAGAAAAGCACAAAGATTTTCTTGCAAAAAGACGGTTTGCGATTCGTTAAAGGATATTTATTTCTGTGGGACTCTAAGCAAGATAATATCGTTCATAAATGGGTTTCTGGATAAGAAAATACGTGGAGCTTGTGGATCTAAAATATTCTAGGCAGTCAGACGTTTTTGAAACTCTAAAGCATTTAAGAAATTATTCTCTTATGCACTGACGACAATGTGCACCTGTTTCTTAAAATATCGATTTACCGGAATTATGTTCAAATCCGTCTCAGTTGGCTTCAGTTCAATATGTAAGTACGTAAGCTCTTTGAAACTTGCTTTCTTTTATTTCCTACGTAGCAAAAATAAGTCAGTAAATCGTTAAAAGTCAACCGGATCGCTAAAAAAAATCTTAGAAGCTTGGAAACAGTTCGTGAGTTGGAGTCACCGAACAAATTATTCAACAAAGCGTGTGTACTACTAAGCTCGCATTTATCATATCGACTTTTAATGGCAACTTCGAATGTTTCCAACTTCATCTCTCATACCACAATGTAATACATGCTCTGATGTACAAAAAATGGCGTCGCGTAGGTTGAGAGCACTTCTCACGTAATGCTGTTATCAGTTCATAAAGGATTATGCTCTGTACCAGATAGCGCGTCTGAAAAAGAAGTTAGGTATAACAGAAAATTTAATTCGATCAAGTGAGTCTAACAGGCCTATATAATCAGTCCATAGTTTCTAGTCATTTGACAAGATTGCGATCTAGATATGTCTCTTCTGTCTTACCGACAGAACCGACCATCTGGCAACGTTGCTATGACTAACCTCGCCGCTCGCCAGCAACAGCACCACGGCAGCCTTCCATATGCCAGAGCGAGACGCAGGTAGGTGCATAGAATCATCGGGGCCAGAGGGGTACAAATATACCCCCAACCTCCAAAAAAGTTTTGGAATTGATGAGGAGCCTTTGAAAGATCCACACACGGAGTTTGGGCGTTTTTTTCCCGTTTCTTGCCTCTAGCAATTTTTCAAAAATGATCAAGATCCTCTGAAACAGCAAAAAACAAAGTTTTAGCGACTTTTATATTTTAGTTTTTATCCTTTTCCTCCGCTGCCGCTGGACCGATTTTCAAAAACTACATAGCTTTTTCGTCCTTGGTATTATAGTAACCTTACGGTGGTCTGAAATGATTTCGTCTGGGGCCAGCATGGATCTGCTGAAAAAAAGTGGCGACCGTTTTTTCATCTAACAAATTTCCTGGAATAATTAGAAAACCATAAGCCCTAGATTAAATATGCAGAGATCAAAATAATCTATGAAATTATGTACAACTTCATACCACATATGACGGTCTTTAGTGACAAGTTAACGGTTTAGAAAACGATTTGTTCACAATTGAATACATGCCCCGGTCACCATCCGCGTCGCTGTTGCACCATGCCACTTCGCCACATATAATAGCTGTGCAGTCTGTACTATTTTTTCCAGAGCTGCTACATAATAGATATTCGAATTGGATTCCATGAGTCGCGTTATTTAATACTACAAATGAATTAATATTTTTCTTGGTATCCAACAAACCCTGAAACATTCCAAGAATTCCAAATTTCTCGAAACAACTGCTAGATGGTCGATAAATATTACGTGCCATCTGAAAATCGTGCATATTACACGTTCTGAATCCTGTTAAGAATCCAGGCATCTGAACTGGAAGGAGATCCAGAACAGTGATAAGACCCTTTCTCTTCTGGGAATTAATGAATTCAGTCGTCGTATATATCGCAATGTCTTAGTATTCTTGAAGCGAAATTAGACAAAATGAAATTAAGGTCGAAAGGGATCCTTCCTGAGTGTTTTCGGCATAAGGGAGCGATAACAAAACTTCAAGAACCGACCGGTGAACTTTCATTTTGAAAATCGTTGAAGACTGAACAGACTTATTATGGATATTCATTTAGTACATAATTGAATTCATTTGCGAATTTAAGGAATTTACAGTGTTTGGGAAGGGTATACAAAACAAAATATACGAACAAGGGGTGCAGTAAAATTGGCTTCTAGTCGTATAAAGTCGTAGTAATGGAGAGGAGTCTAGCAATTCGATTTTCTTTGCCGATCATCACAACCAGTTGGTTCAGCATCCGGTCGAAGATAAAAAAGAAACTTCAAAAATTCTTTCGCTCCGGAAAAAGTATTTTTAGGTTTTCTGGGTCATTCTGATGACAGGTTCTAATTAACTCTTTCCTCAAGTTGATGGTTTTCCAGATATAATGGATTTAATATTTGAAAAGCGCAAAATTTGACCCCGAAAAATAGCATGGAAAACGTAACATCATTCCTGAATATTTAACATCCAGTAACAAAATCCCAAAGCATTTTAGAGGGTATTGATATTATGAACTTCTGTTTTTACTTCCTGACACTGACGAGAAAGTATTGTAATCGCGAAAAATTTCGAAAATGAGCTATTACGTTTTTTATGTTATATGACAACACGAAAAACCAGGTCTCTAATTTCCGTCGGTCTGTCCGCAAATCCTTGACTCCGCTATAACTTGGAAAGTACCGGTCGAATTTTGATGAAACTCTCACACAAGGTTACCACTATATCAGGGACGAAAAACCTGTATAGTAGTGGCGTAGCTGGGGACAAAATAAGTAAAAAAAATCGCTCAACCTTTATTTTTTGGCGTTTTAGGCGATCTTGATCATTATTGGAAAAAAATTGGTCGGGTGGGGCCTATAGGAGAGTGGATTTTTTGACGTTGATTTACTTATACGGTAATTCTATGCGCCTATTAGACGTATTTCACTTATGATAGATTGCCCTATACATTTATCCATAAAACTTGAAATTATGTAGAAATATTTCCAACCCCACATGTCGATCATAGGTTTGCGGTCCTTTTGATGCATGTGTGTAGCAGTCGGCCTCCGCTGCTCGACTGGGTGTGGACCGTCGATCGGGGAATGGCAAGGGTCATCCGTTGACAAGAGATAACTTTTTAAAGAAGGTGTAGCATATTTTCTTGAGGAGCCAAATTATAAAGAACCCCAAAATTGTACAGAAAGCTTGCAAAATATGCAAATTTTAATTATTTGAGCCTGTTTGACGAGCTTGATCCATTTAATTCATTTGTTGTACATGTTAATAGCAAACTTTTTTCTCAGAAGGACCAACTTGTGCCGAACATAATCCATTATGAACTAATGACAGCGTTGCGTATGAAGTGAAGAGTCAACCTACTTGACGTCATTCTTAGTTGTTATTCTGCGTGAGAACTAGGAAGGCGTTATCAGGTGCGTACTTGATTAACAATTTAAAAGCAAAGCTTTAAAATAGCAATACCCCCTTAAATGCTTTAGGACTTTGTTAATGGACGCTTTTCTGTATTGATTTTCGGGGTCGAAAATTGCATACTTGGCATTTTTTTAAATACTAAGTCGATTATATCTCAAAAAGTATCAGTCTTAGAGAAACGTTCTTGAGAACCTTGTTGAGAATGACCCAAAAACAAAAAATGTTGGTCGTAGTCAAAAAAACTTATGGAATTTGCTTAAACAAATTATTGAACAATTTTGGGCCTGGCAACAAACAGATTCGTAGAAAGAAGTCCTTTTTTAATAAGCGTATGCAAAAAAACAGAATCAGAATATTTTTCATAACGGATGTGAAGATACTTTCCAGGCTATGTCCTATTCCCGTAAGGGATATACAGGGTGTTTGGAAGGTCGATAGGGTAGACCATTCTGAATCTTTTAAGCCAAAAATACCCAAGTTCAAAGTCGTACGGTTTTCGAGTTATTCGAGATTTTCAATTTTTATTGAAAAAATATATGCCTTTTGTTCCTGTTATCACTGAAAGAACGTCAGGCTATATGAAATAGTTTTTAAATACCTGACAGTGTGGTTTTTTTCTCCAAAGGTAGAGAAAAGAAAAACAAATTGACAGTAAACAAATAATAAATACATGTTTTCCTATTTTTGTGATATTGATAAGAAGGACGTGTTTGTGTGCATGATAAAACTAAATTCGACACATTCTTACTTTATTCCTTTCCAAACAAGACAATAGTACTTCATGAATTTCGGTCCAAAAATCCTGAATTAATTAGTTTGTAAAATGCCGCTTTCACTAACGAAGAATATGCCGATATCGTTTACATGTATGGCAGAGCAGATGATAATGGACTAGAAGCACGACGGTTGTACTAAGAGCGATTTCCTGGGAAAAGCTTGCCTAATGTCAGAGTCTTTTACAATACTTACCAACGTCTTTACGAAACTGGAAGTGTAACACGTAATGAACCTGGTGTTAATCCAGGTCGATATCCTCCTGAAGCCAAAGATCTAATCCTCCAAGCGTTTGAAGATGATCCCACTACAATTACTAGGAAAGTTGCTGCTGATCTTGGTTTGTCGCCATGGAAGGATTGAAGTATCTTGCACCGTGAACGACAATATCCTTTTCATGGTATCGGCGTACAAAGACTTGAAGCTGGAGCCAATTTTATCGTTTTCTCTTACATAGTGACATTGAGAATAAACGGTTCCTGGAAAGCATTCTATGGACGGACGAATCCAATTTTTCAAAGGAGGGCATTACAAATTTTCACAATTTGCATCAGTGGGCTGATAAGCAGGAAAATCCACACTGGAAAAAATAGGTGTCTTTCCAGCTCAAATTTTCCGTTAATGTATGGGCCGCCGTCATGGGACAACGATTAATCGGTTCTGGAAGATTAAACGGCGACAGTTATCTGCACTTTTTGCAAAATGATCTTCCCAAATTACTTGTAAGAGTAGACATTCCAGATGCAAATGCAAATTGTTTTCCAACACGACGGATGTCCAGCTCATTTCCGTTTAGACGTAAGACAATATTTGGGCGGTACTTTTTCAAATAGCTGGATAGGCAGAGGTGGAAGAATTCCGTGGCCTGCTAGATGCCCGTACTTGACACCATTGGATTTCTATGTCTGGGGGCGGGGTTAACATTTAGTTTACATTGAAGAAATCGAATCAAGAGACCATTTAATAAGAAAAAATCGCTTTTTATTTAATGCAGCAAGACAGATTAAATACAACAACTACCGAAGTAACACGTAGAGCTCGAGCATGAATGTTCTCACTTTGAACACCAATAAAGCATGTTTCAATAGTTCATTTTGTTTCGTTTATTAATTTATGATATACATTTGAAAATCCGAATATCTCAAAAACCGTAAGACTTTGCACTGAGGTATGTTTGGCTTAAGAGACTCTAAATGGCCTGCCCTATCCCCTCCCCAAGACTTTGTACAGACCTTCCAAACACCCTGTATATGTCTGTTTCATCTGTCATGATCTATGAAAATTCCAACCAAAAGTCACATCTTCGACTTTTGTCTGGGCATGCTATAAACTTCTCGGTTTATCTACAGCAATCTTTTCTCAACCATGCTTCTGCCAGTACCATATGTACCATGTCTATTGTGCGCCCCTTTTGGCATGTTCCAAGCGGATATTAAGAATATGAATACCGAATACTCGCAGAGTGTTTGTTTATTGCATCACTATCAGTAAGGTCAGGTGACGAGAGAATGAATCACAGCAAACTAGAAACACGGATTACCCGATGAAAATCCTGTGTGCACTAGGCTTCGAACCTGTACGATAATAATTAAAGGAAATGGTGAATTCTTTTATGCACTGCCAAGGACGACAGGTTTCTTATGTTGTGTTCATAAGCTGGTATTAAAAGTTACGGTACGGTGAAGTGTATCAGGGCTGGGCGATTAATGCTGTTCTGGGCATGGAAATAGAAGACCACAATACTTAGCCACCGTTGGACCCCTTGTACAAGGTGACCAGCATTACCTGGGATTAAGAAGTATTTTTCTCCGCATGACCTCCTCACTTTATACAAGACCTAGCCTCGAGTATTGCTCACACGTTTGGGGGTGTTGCCGCCCCCACTACATTATTAATGCTCGATGCTGTCTAGAGGAGGACAGTTCGACTGATCGATGACTCCTCTCTAACAGACATTCTCGGGACCATTTCGCACTGGAGGACAGTCGGCAATCTAGCTCTCTTCTACCGCTACGCCAGTGGCCTTTGCTTCTCAGAGCTCTCCTTCATAATGCCGCCGCGCTATGTGCCTGCCAGACAGACCCGCCTGACTTCGACTTTCCATCCTAACCGTGTCGAACTTCTTGCATCTAGAACTGGTCGCTACGACCGCTCCTTTGTCCCAAGGTGTGGAGATTGTGAATCAATCTACAAGAGAAGGTTTTCCCAGTTATACTAACCTAAGGCAGTTCAAAAATCGGAATAAAAAAAAATTCTTTGGGATCCTCACAGCACTCGCGGTGTCCCAGCATTTAGCCTTCTGCTTAGGTGTAAAAAAAAATACTACATCCGATGTTTTGCCAGAGTGAGCATATTTTTTTGTATTAGTAACCTCTATACCTAATTATATTTTCGGATTCGACATTCATCTCAGAATGTATTTTGTGTCTACATGACGCATGACGCTATTTTGCTCAGTTTTTGAGATATGTTTTTATTTATTTTTGGGCAACGCAGCCACCTTGAAAATGTATCGTTACATATCGTACACAGAACTGTCGGAGTAATGGTTTGGAAGGCTATTGCCTATGGCAGCCGATCACTCCTTCTCTTTGTTCAAGGCAATATGACTGCTGCTCGTTATGTCGATGATGTCCTACAAACCACTTTACTGCCGTATCTAGAGGGTTGTCCACACGTCCTTTTTCAGCAAGACAAGGCACGTCCCCATATTGCTCGTCGTACTACGAACAGGCGTTTTAATGTGTTGCCATGGCCACCCCGATTACCGGATTTAAATCCCATCGAACATGTGTGTGATATGATGGGGAGGAGACTATCCACTTTGCACCATCCGCCACAGGCTCTGCGACGAAGTTAGATTTACTTAGAATGAGGTGCACCAATATCGATCATTTTGTCGATGCCTAGACGTACACAGGATTGTATTCAGCTGCGGGATCACCCAACAGAGTATTATTTTTTTCTTATTACTTGTCAATAAAATTTCGTGAGAGTGTTATCGTTTCATTCTTGATGTAAGACTAGCACTTTGCCAAAAAATCAAGTTGAAGAAATTATTTTTTCTGGGAGTAACACTTCCAATGTCACTGAGTATATTTTGTCTCAATCACTTCTTTGCAAGCGACTAGAGTTATGCCAGGTAATGATGAATGAACCTTGTTTTTTTGCTGCTGTCTTATTTTTCTGTAAAATGATCCTGTATGACCGAATTTCCAGCCACGTTCGGTATCCATCTCTCCATTTTGTAATTCATACTTTAATGGGCATGACCTCTAAAATGCGTACACTCATATATACGGTATTTACGAATGGAAACAATGGACTAAATTCTGCCATCGCTACCTCTCGCAGTCGAAAGGTGCTTCAGCTGAAATACGTTTCACAATTTTTTTTCAGATTTGTCGGCTTTCGGACGAAATGAAATGCTCAGTGACGTCAACGGCTCTGAAAAGTCACTATTTTTATCGACAAAGATAGTTTTGGCGTCAGTATTTTAGAATTCTGTGTGACGTTCCTTTTAAAATGGGATACTTATGCATAATGCATGTTTCGTTGATAATAATACCGTACTGTTTTCCTTTCTATATAGGTTACTGTCTTTTCACCCAACAACTTTGTCTGAAATATGCTCAAAATAGTGCGGTATTTTCGTTTGACCTTAAGATTATCTTGGAACTTAACCCTGGTCTTCAGGCCAAGATCATGCCTAATCGTAAAATCTGCCCACACTACACAAAAAAATGTGACCCCTACAGGATAGTGCGTTGTCTCAGGATAAATGCATACAGTGTGTCCCAGAATAACATCTCTTGTGTTCTTATCCATAGTGTCCATCTTATTCTCCCCAGGGTTTCGAGTGACGAAAATGATGGTGATATTGACCATATAAACTTTATCATGACTTTCAAGGTCAAGCGAATATTTTCAAATGGAACCCCCCTTTTTATAGCGTGAGGAAATTCTACGTCCTACCATGATCATAACCATGACCTTTAAGGTCATTTCAAGGTCAATCAAACACATCAATTTGCTCTAGTAAACATGTTGTGAGGTTTGTGGAGGTCTCCCGAAGGTGATCATGACAGTCAACATTCTCAGGAAACCCCTCGTTTTTATCCTGGAATTCGAAATTGTCACAATTTGACCTTCACCTTCAACTCAAGGTCATGTTAATCTTGAATTTTATTTGTAAAATTACAGAGATCAGGACATTCTACATTTAAATGTGTAAAATTTTTGACATTTTTGACATGGTCAAAGAGATAGACAAAATCACCCTTGGCTGGACCTCGCAAAGCTCATGTCTGTGCTAGCGAAGCTTTTTCGCTAGTGCAAATTGTTTTCAATGTCATGATTTCACATTGTAATGTCCTTGAAGGTCTTGGTGGTGACGGTAAGAGACAATATCATACTCGGACGTAAAATTTTCTGCTTTTTTCAGTTCCGGTAAAAATATTTGCAAATGACCTTTGGAGGTCGTTGCCAAGATCATGGACACTGTCAGTTGCACCTCGAATTTGCCTGAATTTTTAGGATGAGTAGTTTTCAAAATATTTAGGTGGTGGGATTAAAATGGTACACCCTATATATGATACAACGAAATAAGTACTTGAGAAAAGATACACTAGTTTCAATATCCACTTACACTGTAGACGCTTCCCAGAAAGTTTGAGCTAAATCTAAAACTTAATCAAACGTTCTAAAATTTTTTTTTAGTTGGACAGTTACAAAACTTTTGTTAGAATTATACTGTATCTAAAGTGGCGTGACTAGTATATCCGATTCAGTGCCAAAATTAATAGAACTCTACTGAAACAAGGGTATTCTTCTCGAAAACGGTCGTTGTTGAAGAAGAGTACATTTTTTTCAGCTTGAAAAAGTACGTGTAATTCTGCAGTGTCATTCAAAATTATTAGGGAAAACTGATTTCCAGTAGTGTTTTTTAGGGACCTGCCTCATTTTTTTGGAACTGACATGTAATTCTGGGACATCCTGTATGTTAACTATTTACGTACGATAAGGTATAGTCTACCTCTCAGTTTATCCCCAAAACCTATGTATATAAGTTATTTACAACAAAACTTTCTTCCTAGGAATTGAATCGTATGAAAGTTCCTGTGGGTTTTCCACGAAGATCTTATAAAAGACCTCGTATATGCAAGATGTGAAGTTAGCTATTTTTCATTGTGATTTCTCAGCATACGTAAAGCATTCTCGCTTTCAAACTTCTTTCCAGGTATTTCGACAAGTGAACACATTCGCCTTTCGTACATGCAGACAGCGAGACGTATTTTAGCGATATTTCGTCATTTCCCTTTGCCAGCTTCCTTTTCCTTACAATAATGGAATGAAATCGGGAC